AGACAGACGCTCATTTAACCTGTCTCACCTCTACCACTAAAACCTTCTCCTGGTCCCCAAAAGCAGAAGCGGCTTTTAGGACCCTCAAGAAGAAGTTCACTGAGGCTCCTGTTCTCACCAGACCGGATCCAAGCCAGCAGTTCACTGTGGAAGTGGACGCTTCTGACACTGGGGTTGGAGCCGTTTTGTCCTAGGTATCTCCCGTCGATCATAGACTCCATCCCTGTGCCTTCTTTTCTAGATGGTTGATGCCGACGGAGAGTCGGTACGACGTGGGGGATCGAGAGTTGTTGGCAGTGAAGTTGGCCCTAGAAGAATGGAGGCACTGGCTGGAGGGAGCAGAACATCCTTTTGTGATCTGGACCGACCACAAGAACTTGACCTACCTCAAGGAAGCAAAACGGCTAAACCCACGCCAATACCGTTGGTCACTTTTCTTTACTTGGTTTAACTTTGTCATTTCCTACCGGTCAGGGTCCAAGAACGTCAAACCAGATGCCCTTTCCCATCAGTACTCGCCTGAGGATGACCCCGTTCCGGTAACTATCCTGCCTCCATCCTGCATGGTTGCGAGGCTCACATGGGAGATCAGAGACAGAGTCCTGGACGCCCTCAGGGTTGATCCCGGTCCAGGTAACGGCCCCCCAGAAAGACTTTTTGTTCCTCAGGTCATGCGAGGCAGGGTTATCCACTGGGCCAACTGCTGGTTTTCTGTGTCCCCTTCCTGTTCCGTCTCGCCCCTGGTCGCACATCGCCTTGGATTTTGTGTGTGGGTTTCCCACCTCTTGAGGGTTCAATACCATATTGACTATTGTAGACAGGTTCTCCATGGCTTGCCACCTTGTACCTCTGAAATCTCTCCCATCTTCTGCCATCACTGCCCAGCTCCTGATCAAACACGTGTTTCGTCTACATGGGATTCCTGAGGAGATCCTCTCTGACTGTGGTCCCCAGTTCATTTCCAAGGTCTGGAAGGAATTTGCCAATGCCTTGGGTGCCCGTGTAGCATTGACCTCCGGATTTCACCCGCAGACCAACGGACAGTGCAAACGCATGAATCAGGAGCTGGGAGCTATGCTATGTTGTGTATGTGCTACCAACCCCACCTCTTGGAGCAACCACCTGGCCTGGATGGAGTATGCCCACAACATCCATGTCTCCACAGCCACAGGTCAGTCTCCCTTCGAAGCTTCTCTTGGTTACCAACCCTCTCTGTTTCCCCTCCAGTCAGACTCCACCATCACTGCGCCACAGTTTCTCCGCCGGGCACAACGGACTTGGACGGCTACTAGGGCCGCACTTCTACGCACTGCTGAACAGTACCAGCAGTTGGCGGATCGTCATCGTTGCCCGGCACCGGTCTACACTTCTGGACAGATTATCTGGCTGTCCTCCAGGGATGTACCACTTAAAGCCACATCCAAGAAATTTGCTCCCAGGTTCCTTGGTCCTTTTAAGATCGTGGCAGTCCCCAGTCCTGTGACCGTTCGTCTGGACCTTCCGCGATCCATCAGAATTCATCCAATTTTTCATGTGTCTTTGATCAAAATAGTGGCCACCAGTCCTCTCTGTCCGACCCCGGACCCACCTCTGCCTGCTCGGTACTACAAGGGAGGTCTGGTCTACCAGGTTCGGGGGATACTCGACTCTCGTCCTTGGGGTTGGGGAGTACAATACCTGGTGGACTGGGAGGGGCATGGCCCGGAGGAGCATTCATGGGTTCCCCGGGCGTTCATCGAGGACCCCTCCCTCATCTCTGACTTTGAGGCCTCTAGGACCACCGCTGGGGCGCCAGAAGGTGCACGTTGAGGGGTGGGTGGGGGGTGGGGGGGTGGGGGGGGGATTGTCATCGTTCTCAGGTCGAGGTGAGTCCTCCTCCTCAATTAACTATCTTTGGGGTTCTGTGTTCCACAGGTGAGGAGCGGAGGGGCACCAGCTGTGCCGAGTTAATCATTTGGAGCTCAGGTTTAAAAGGAGGATGGAGACACCACTCGAAGCCGGATGATTACTTCAGTTATGGTAACACCTGCCACTTGTATTCGTTTGCTCCTAGTAGTTTGCTCTCGCGTGTTGGATTATTTGGATTTCGGACCTTGGACAATTATTTGGATTACGATTTTGAACTTGCTCCTGAAACCCGGTTCTGTTTACCTTCCTTAGGGTTTTCACCACATCTTCACTATTCAGCTAAAGAACTACGGATCTTCATTCCACGTCTCATCCTCCTCCTCAGCCCCTGGATCTCCCCTCTCTGCTGCCTCACCTCATGCCCGGCTGGGTCTCCACTCTCATCCACCTCTGCTCCCCACTACCCCACGGCTCGCTGAGCTAGGACTTTGGACTTATCGCCCACGGCATTACTCACTGGTTTTCCAGTGCTCCTTTAGTTCTCGTTTGTGAATAAAATACTTTTATTTCTTACCTTCTGACACCCGTGCTGATTCTGCATGTCTTGGGTTAAACGCCTTCCCCCAGTCATGACACCTTGGTTAACTGAATATCCTAAACAGAGTGTGTTTTGAGTGCATTGTGTGTTTCTGTGTAATCACAGGGATCAATAAGTTACAGCTGCAAAACCTGAACACCATTTAGATCCCCCCCCCCCCCCCCCCCCCCCCCCCCCCCCCCCGCGCGCTCTGACACTCCAGGCAGCCTGGCAGTTCTTCAGGTTTGAGCAAGGTTAAAAAACAAACAGTATAACTTAATTCAAATGAATATTTGTTCCATGCACAGTACGAGTAATTTGTGAAGGTCCTCAATTATCCAGAACATGGTTATCCTAGCAGGTTCAAACAAAAGCAACTGGACTTCTTGTAGACATGTTACTTCTTATCCATGTAGCATCCAGGAATGGTCATTTTTCATCTACAGTTTGACCTTTTCAGTATCCGGTCATCTACAGACATAATTCTGCCTCTGTGTGACCTCTAATATTCCAAGCTGCAAGAAAGGTTCTACAGTGTTGTTGACATTGAAACTGTCAACACAGTGTTCCCTTCACCAAGGTCTTTCTGCTAAGCCTGTCTGCTTATTTAGACTGTCCTGCACAGAATAAAGAACCAAACCATTACAAGAATTAACTTTTATAAAAATGATTACTGAATGATGAAATGAAATACGTAAATAACCATATAAGTATGAACAAGGGGTTAAATGAAATGTTTTGCTTAATCTGTGCCTAAATTAATAAGGTTGAAATGAATGTTTCCTTGCAATGATCTGTTTGTTTTATAATCAGTCTCCTTGACAAGCTCACATGCACATACATATCTCCATGACACAAGGGTACAGTAATGTCATGACATATAGAGATTTTCTTATCCACAAAATCAGAGCATCTTCTATTTGAAGAAGGAGTGTTTCTGAGCTTTGTTTGGTAAAACCTCCTTAACATGGCACGTTGTGATTTGTCAGAAAATCATAACGAATTAATAAAACTCAGATCACTTCCCGAGTTGAATAAGTTTTGTTTTCAGCTGACACTCCGGAGTGGCCAATCTGGAACCAGCCTCTTTTGAAACATCTCTTTGACATACAGTCAAAACCTGTTTGCATGCTGCAAAGCTGACACAGCAAGACACCTTAGGAGTCCATCCTTAGACGCAACCAACCTTCATGCTGTTGTGACCTGGAGGCGACTCTGGACTGACCAGGTCGCTTTGTGGTTAAACTACGACCCTCAATGCCTTGGGGTCACCCGACCACCCCTCGACATCTCAGATCCAAAAAAGGGTCTCCTAAGGGTACGCAGACACAACAAGATTGCATCTGATGCCATTTTATTAATGATCAACTCTCTAGTTTATAGCAGACCAAATTCTTTACACCCAGAACTCAGTTTCTTCCAGATACAAAGGTTCTGATAAACATCACATTCCATCATCACACATCACATTCCATCAACACATATACATCGATCACATATCGTTATTCATAACTTGTCATGTATTATAATTAGTCTAGAAAACAAAGTTTATTTTTAACTATATGCTTGTGTCACAAACTCCTCCTCCTGACCACCCCCTACGGACTTAACTGGCAGAGCACTACATTACCCAGCAGCGCCGGCGCTCCGCACACGCACACCACGCACAGTGCGTAGGGCACCTCGCCGGGGGAGGGGCACCAAATGCAAGCTTTTGAAAAAAATAATATGTATATGATACAGACAGATTTCAATTAGAAGATGTGCAAAGCAAGGTAACAGCATGTTTACAGAGAGAAAACAATACAAAACGGCAAGGAGATGAACCGTGTCGCACCGTCACCCCCCCCCCCCCCTCCCACCAAACACCCCCCACCCCACCCCACCCCTCCACCCCCCCGCGCGCGGAGGATGCAGCGCAGCCGGCACAGTCATGGCTCCGAAAAGGCTGCAGGAGTCCGGGGCAGTAAATAGACAAAAGAAGAAACAGCGGGATGATGCTGTTGCTTCGATTGCAGGTAAGACAAGTATTTAAATGGAAATTCTTATTTTTTTTTATCTATTCCTAATTCTAAACACGTGTGGTCAAGTTCAGAGGGTCGTTTGACCTTGCTTAAATTCAGACTTGTTACTGCTGTTAATTAATCTGTTTATGGTCAAATTTTGCCTAGTTTGGTATAAGCATGCTGCTTGTCAGGACTTTTATTTGGTGTTTTTCGTTCTCTGCTTCCGTACATTTAACATTTTGACTCTATCTGCATGGTTTGGGCAGATTTCGTTCTCCGCTTCTCCAGTCTGTTAAAAGTATAATGCACCACTCCAGGCACGTGCAGAGGGGGGGGCGGAGGGTGCTTGAGACCCTGCCCCTTTTCTCCCATGTGCCCAAAGTGCCCTTTTTGAGGTTTAATGATTTTTTTTATATATATTTATTTTTATTTTTTTTAAAGAATTTTCTGTTTGTGCCCCCTCAAGAATAACAAAAATAATCATTAATAAAATTTCTGTTTAATGTTATATAGCTGGCGTGAGTCAGACCATACATCACGTGACCATTCCGTCTCTTCCTCTCGCCAGAGCGCACAGCCGGTCACAACAAGCTGCAAGCAAGCACCCACATTTTCTTCATGGCCGAGCGAGTGGTGCAAAGCTTTTAGGACATACATATTGATTGGGAGAAACGGACTAACACCGGTAAGTAGGATGCACACTACTATACACGGTTATTAGATTATTTTGTACATTATTAAGTTGTTTTGTGGCACTAGGTGTGTGATATATTACTAGCTGGGTGTGTGTCTGTGGCTGGGTACCGATTCTGAACCTCAGTAACTTTAGGATTAACCAAAAACATTCTGTACATAAGTACTTGTACGAAAATATTTTTTCAATCTTAAGTATTGGGAATTTGCCAATAAAATGTCATTGTTGTTAACTAGGTACCGCAAAGTTGCATTCCTATCGCTGCTGCGTGTCACGTGACTAGGGTCTCACACAGCCCTGCTTCTTGTTTACAAAATCACTTCCTGGTTCGCGAACTAATAAAACTTGAACAAATTTAAAATTTAGCTACCTTTTGTGAAAGGAAATAAGAAAAATACTAAAGGTAACATCCGTCACAAGTTTTGTGTTACTAAATATTCAGTCCTTGTTTGTTAATTCTGTCCAGCGTTTTAGGGAACATAGTTTTGTTTTAGATGTTAAGGTTTCTCAGCCCTTCTGGTGGGTTTTTTAGTTCACTAATACTATGCATATTCTCAAAATGTTGGAGTTTATATTTGCTCTCTTTTTGAATGCATTGTATTAAAAACATTATGTTTTAAAGATGTACATTAAAAAAAACTGTTTTCACTGCAAAATTATTTTATCTGTACAGTTCTCTGTTTTGCACAAAGTAGATAGTAAAACTGAATGAAAGCATAAACATTGTTTTATTCTTTATTTTTATTATAATTACTAAAGCACTACGATTAAAATATTATGGAAATATTCTGGATCAGCATCATGAAGCAAATTTGTGGCCAAATTATATACAGTTAGTTTTCTGGAAAAGGAATGAAATGTCCCAGAATGTGTATGCTTGAGTTTTATATGCATGAAAACATATTTGTAAATTAATTATGATATATCATTGTACAGACATGCTTCGTAAGGACAGGAGGAGGAAGCAGCGACAGAAAGAGCTACATGAGGCAGCTAAAGGCAGTGGGTCCCTCACCAGCTGGATAAAAAAAAAGAGTACAGGTAAGTTGCATCACAGCAACAAGTGTAGAAACAATAATATACACAACTGCAATGTTTTGATGCCAGAAAATGTTTTTTGTTAGCCTCTTGATCATGGATTAGGTGCAAGACCTGTTAAATGTGAATAACTACATAATTCATACAATAGCTAATGTTGCCTTGTTCTCAGATGGACAGCAAGTGGAGAGTGATAGATCACATGAGGAGACTGAAGACACACACAACTCTTGCTGTTTATATTTCTGTCACATTCTTATCTCTGACATAAACTCCTCTATTATCCACTAATATTTAGATTTCCATTTATTTACCACAGGTGTTGTCTCAGATATTTCTGTCTTACACTTCTAAGAGTTTTCACCAATTTTTGCCATTTTTTTATGATCTTACATAAATTTTGTAATTGACTAACATTCCTCCTCTGTTCGTTTTACTACCTACAGTCTGAGATCAACACAGCCTTGCCCTCCAGCATCATCAGCAGCAGCAAGAGGAGCGACCCTGCAACAGCTACACTGTACCCCATCATCAGGTAAAATAGGACAGCAATAGATCAGGAGGTGGAGCAGGTTGTCCAGTAATAAGAAGGTTGCAGGTTTGAGCCTGACTTCAATCAGAGATTGATGCTGTTGAGTCCTTGGGCAAGACACTTAACCTGCTTTGCCTGCTGGTGGGGGTCGGAGGGACCGGTGGCGCCTGTGCTCAGCAGCTTCACCTCTGTCAGTGCGCTCCAGAGCAGCTATGGCTACATCATAGCTCATCGCCATCAGTGTGTTAATGTGTGTGTGTGAATGACTGATTGTGTTGTAATGTGCCTTGGGGGGCTGTAGAACCCTAAGAAGGCATTATACAAATACAGACCATTTACCTAAACAAGTTACTTTTGCTTTACATTGTCCTTATGGTGTATATAATGATTCGCTTCCATTTTGAATTTCTAATAAATATTATTATTGAACCGTCACCTTATCGTGGTGGAGGAGTTTGAGTGCCCTAATGATCCTAGGAGCTATGTTGTCTGGGGCACTTAGTGCCCCTGGTAGGGTCTCCCATGACAAATTGGTCTTAGGTGAAGGGTGAGACAAAGAACGGTTCGAAGGATCTTTCATGGCGGATAAAACGAAGAGTTGGAGTACCCGGCCCGGAGGGTTACCGGGGTCCCACCCTGGAGCCAGGCCTGGGGTTGGGGCCCGTGAGCGAGCGCCTGGTGGCCGGGCTTTCGCCCATGGGGCCCGGCCGGGCCCAGCCCGAACCGGATACATGGGCTCGTCCAACTGTGGACCCACCACCCGCAGAAGGAACATGAAGGGTCCGGTGCAATGCGAATCGGGTGGCAGACCAAGGCGGGAGCCTTGGCGGTCCAATCCCCGGACAAGAAAACTAGTTTTTGGGACATGGAACGTCACCTCGCTGGCGGGGAAGGAGCCGGAGCTTGTGGCAGAGGTTGAGCGGTACCGGCTAGATATAGTCGGACTCACCTCGACACATTGCATTGGCTCTGGAACCCGAGACCTGGAGAGGGGTTGGACACTCTACTTTGCTGGAGTTGCTCCGGGTGAGAGGCGGAGGGCTGGGGTTGGCTTTTTGTTAACCCCGAGACTCTCTGCCTGTGTGTTGGGGTTTACCCCGGGGGACAAGAGGGTAGCTTCCTTGCGCCTTCGGGTCGGGGAACGGGTCCTGACTGTTGTTTGTGCTTATGGGCCAAATATCAGTTCAGAGTACCCACCCTTTTTGGAGTCCCTGGGACGAGTGCTAGATAGTGCTCCATCAGGGGACTCCATTGTCCTGCTGGGGGACTTCAATGCTCACGTGGGCAATGACAGCTTGACCTGGAGGGGTGTGATTGGGAGGAACGGCCCACCTAATCTGAACTCGAGCGGTGTTTTGTTATTGGACTTCTGTGCAAGCCGCAATTTGGCCATAACGAACACCATGTTCGAACATAAGGATGCCCACCGGTACACTTGGTACCAGGGCAGCCTAGGTCACAGGTCGATGATAGATTTTGTAGTTGTATCATCTGACCTGCGGTCGTATGTTTTGGACACCCAAGTGAAGAGAGGGGCGGAGCTGTCAACTGATCACCACCTGGTGGTGAGTTGGATCAGATGGCAAGGGAACATGCCGCGTAGACCTGGCAGACCCAAACGCATAGTGAGGGTCTGCTGGGAACGCCTGGCAGAAGAACCTGTCAAGACGGTCTTCAACTCCCACCTCCGGCAGAGCTTTGACCACGTCCCGAGAGCAGTGGGGGACATTGAGTCCGAGTGGGCCTTGTTCCACTCTGCGATTGTCGAGGCGGCTGTTGCTAGCTGTGGTCGTAAGGTGGCCGGTGCCAGTCGTGGTGGCAACCCCCGTACCCGCTGGTGGACACCAGAGGTTCGGGGAGCCGTCAGGCTGAAGAAGGAGGCCTACAGGGCGTGGCTGGTCTGTGGGTCTCCGGAGGCAGCAGACAGGTACCGGATAGCCAAGCGGCGTGCAGCAGTGGCAGTTGCCGAGGCAAAATCTCGGGCGTGGGAGGAGTTTGGTGAGGCCATGGAGAAAGACTATCGATCGGCTCCAAAGAGGTTCTGGCAAACTGTCCGGCGCCTCAGGAGAGGAAGGCAGCAACTCGCTCACACTGTTTACAGTGGGGATGGAGAGCTGCTGACGTCAACTGAGGCTATAGTCGGACGGTGGAAGGAATACTTTGAGGAGCTCCTCAATCCCACCAATGCGCATTCCGAGGAGGAACCAGAGCTGGGGGGCCTGGGGATGGACTGTCCGATCTCGGGGGCATAAGTTGCTGAGGTAGTCAAACAACTACACAGCGGCGGAGCCCCGGGGGCGGATGAGGTTCGTCCTGGGTATCTCAAGGCTATGGATGTTGTAGGGCTGTCATGGTTGATACGTCTCTACAACATTGCGTGGTCATCGGGGGCAGTTCCTAGGGAGTGGCAGACCGGGGTGGTGGTCCCCATCTTTAAGAAGGGTGACCTGAGGGTGTGTTCCAACTATAGGGGGATCACACTCCTCAGCCTCCCTGGAAAGGTCTACGCCAAGGTACTGGAGAGGAGGGTCCGATCGATAGTTGAATCTCAGATAGAGGAGGAGCAATGTGGTTTTCGTCCTGGCCGTGGAACTGTGGACCAGCTCCATACCCTTGCAAGGGTGATGGAGGGGGCATGGGAGTTTGCCCAACCAATCCACATGTGCTTTGTGGATTTGGAGAAGGCTTATGACCGTGTCCCCAGGGGCACCCTGTGGGGGACGCTCCAGGAGTATGGGGTGGGTGGCTTTCTGTTAAGGGCCATTCAGTCCCTTTACCAGAGGAGCGTGAGTTTGGTCCGCATAGCCGGTAGTAAGTCGGACCTGTTCCCAGTGAGGGTTGGACTCCGCCAGGGCTGCCCTTTGTCACCGGTTCTGTTCATCACTTTTATGGACAGAATTTCTAGACGCAGCCGTGGTGTGGAGTGTGTCGAGTTTGGGGGCAGGAGAATCTCGTCTCTGCTTTTTGCGGATGATGTGGTCCTCCTAGCTTCATCCAGCTCTGACCTTCAGCTCTTGCTGGGTAGGTTCGCGGCCGAATGTGAAGCGGCTGGGATGAGGATCAGCACCTCCAAATCTGAGACCATGGTTCTCGACCGGAAAAGGGTGGCTTGCCACCTCCGGGTCGGGGGAGAGGTCCTACCTCAAGTGGAGGAGTTTACGTATCTCGGGGTCTTGTTCACGAGTGAGGGTAGGAGGGATCGGGAGATCGACAGGCGGATTGGTTCGGCGTCTGCAGTGATGCGGACGCTGAGCCGATCTGTCGTGGGGAAGAGGGAGCTGAGCCAGAAAGCCAGGCTCTCGAATTACCGGTCGATCTACGTCCCAATCCTCACCTATGGCCATGAGCTTTGGGTAATGACCGAAAGAACGAGATCGCGGATACAAGCGGCCGAAATGAGTTTCCTCCGTAGGGTGGCCGGGCTCAGCCTTAGAGATAGGGTGAGGAGCTCGGACATTCGGGAGGGACTCGGAGTAGAACCGCTGCTCCTCCGGATCGAAAGGAGCCAGTTGAGGTGGTTTGGGCATCTGGTCAGGATGCCTCCTGGACGCCTCCCCGGGGAGGTGTTTCGGGCATGTCCTGCCGGCAGAAGGCCCCCGGGTCGACCCAGGACACGTTGGAGAGGTTACATCTCCAATCTGGTCCGGGAACGCCTTGGGGTCCTGCCGGAGGAGCTGGTGGACAAGGCCGGGGAGAGGACGGCCTGGAGCTCCCTAATTGGGATGCTGCCCCCGCGACCCGGACCCGGATAAGCGGAGGAAGACGAAGACGAAGACGAAGTTACTTTTGCTTTACATTGTCCTTATGGTGTATATAATGATTCGCTTCCATTTTGAATTTCTAATAAATATGATTTGTTATTCAGCTGAGTATACTGTGGTTATGTCATGGTGTTTGAAAATATTATTCTGTGTGCCCCTTTTTAAATTTGAGCACCCGCCCCTTCAAAGGTCTCTGCACAGCCCTGCACCACTCTGTCCCGCAGCCTCCCGTCCGCCTACCGGGCGTTCATAGCTGAGTGAGAGAGGCTGAGAGGGAGAGAAACTCAGAGAAGCTTTAGAGCTTTTTACTGCTGGAGAAAAAAACGTAGCAAGTCATCATCTTCCCAAATGCAGTTATTCTCTTCTGAATCAGCACTTCTTTAAAGAAGAAGAAATAGTTAAATGCAACAAAGGGAAATCAGCCTGTTCATGCGACTTGTATCAACAAATAAGTCTGAACAGTGTTAAAGGTTGTTCATCAAAAAAATAAACCTTGAAGAGTTTGAAGATTTTTTTGTTTTAATAAGTTCATCTTAAAACATCTTTCTCAAGTAAAATAAAGTTTCCTCTGTGAGGTCAGATAGGCCCATCTGTGCTGTTTTGTAACAGAAATAAACAAATGAATCATATTTGTCCACCCAAATACTTAAATATCACAAAAACAGGAAGGACAAAAACACCGTCAAGGTAAAGTAAGTACTTTTATTTTTAAATAAGCGGCTGTTTGTGATTAATCATGAGTTAACTATGGACATGATTTATATCATTATTAAATAGCCCATGTGGCCTATAGGCTATGTAACTGAGATTTAATATGAAAATTTAGACAAACCTATTTTCAAACTAGGTATTTGCTCTATGTTGATTTATATTTCATAAACATTTACGGGCCAAGGGGAACATCAGCTGCTGATGGTATAATTTGAAGAAAAAAGTCCATTATGCTAACCTCCTCCCTTCATATTCAGAATTTTAGTTGTGTATAAAATGTGTGTATTGTGCCTCTAGTTCTTAATAAAGGTTAAATAGTTTTGAATTTAGTCATGTCACATGCCAGTGATTTATAATATAAACCTATAAATAATCTATTGCAGTTTTTTTTACCATGGTTTAAAACTTTAATCTTATTATAGAATGAATATGACAAATTATCTTTTTGTGTTTGAATGCAGGCTCAATGAACAAGTCCATTCAAGGAGGAGCTCACGCCAAAAGTTCAGATCAGCCATCCACCAGCAGTTCAAGAGCCATCACGTCTGAACCTTCTACAACATCACCCAGCCCTGACCAGGAATTACAAAGTAAAGCACACCTACAGACCGAGCACAGCCCACAGCCAGCACTTCTGAAGGCAGAGTGAGTCCTGGGTCTGAAAAAGCATCTGAAAATTACATTGGAGAAACACGTGTGCCACAACCGGTGCTTGTGTTGTGTGGATCTGTTACATAGTTCTAAATAATAACAATATGAAGTTCCTGTGTTGAGTATGTTATATTATGTAAATATCAGTCCTACTTTTTGTAAATAATAAGCAGTTTGTGCATACAAGAGAATTAAAGATAATTTAAGGCGAAGCGCTTGCACATACTGTGTTATTGTGTTGTTTTTTCTGCGGGGTGGGTGGGGGTGGGGGGGCACCACGAAGCCTTT